ATTTTTGCTGTCTTTGTGCCCCAACACATCCAACAGTCGATGCACTGTAACGCTCTGGGCCTCTAACTTTCCTCAGCTCACGACGACCAATTACCTGCAGCTCCCTCTAAAGAGCTTTGCTTCTACAGAAAGTGTTTTTATTCTGCGTAATGTGTTGCTGAGATGTAAAATCATAATGGCGATGATGATAAAGATAAGCGTGGATAACTATTCTGTCTTGTAAAGTTTCTTCTTTTTAATTTGCATCTGAAATGACATTTTGACAGGAATATCAAGGTTTAGTTTGAGATATTAAACATTAAAGTTCTGTTTTTTTTAAACTAATTTATTAACTAATAATTGACAATAATTTGCAAAAATGAAAATATACTCTTAAGTCTTAATTCCCTAAAGTAAGCTTGTAAATCGTTTGTTTTAAATTCTCCCTCCCTTTGTTTATTTAAAAAACAACAACATTGTATTTCCTTCAAACATGCAAAGCCCCTGTAGTGAGTTTGTGATTATTTAATGTGATTATATTATATAACTGAGATAATGTTAAAAGTGTGTGTTCGTAAATTTCCTATGCTGTATACCAATCCAGAGTGAGTCAGTGAAGAGATTTAAGTTACAAACAAATTTATTCAACTATAGAGAACTTTAATTAGAGACAATGGGTAAGTCTGGGACAGTTGGAAGTAGAATTTGGGACAGTTGTGGGACACTGAGGACAAAGGTTAATTTCATTGCCTGCTTCTAGGTATGGAGGAAAAACTACGATGGTCTTGATTTAGAGCCAGTGCTTGGTTGGTCCGCTGAATAAACATGGTGGTTCAACATAGCGGCCTCCGTGGAAGATAGATAAAAACGTCTCATTCTAAGGTAACAAAAAAACAACGATACTTATTTTCAGGTGACTATACACTAATGAAATACATACCTATAAATATTATATTCAGTTTCCGATAGATCCTCCTAAATCTTACACACTGGACCTTGAACAATTAATTAATGAACTACTGATTCCTTATCTAGTGCAGCTTTAGCCTGCATGCAGAGAGCATTTGTCCTATATGAGAACAATAAAACAAGAAATGTTTGACAAAAATATCTTCAGAAACTTTATTAACTGGAAGTCTTAATCTTGTGACCTTCATCAGCAATAAAAAACCCTAAATGCTGCAGCAGTATTATGTTTTTTTAAAAAAAATAGTTTTACTTTAAATATTAATTTTTGTGCCATTTACGTCTGTAGGGTTTCTAAATTTCAAACTCCTTGTGGTACATGAAAAATATCATGGGATTTGTTGTCCTACTTCCCTTTGACATTTTGAGGACAGTACGATTTTGTGATTCAGAGGGTGTGTAGTATTTTCTTCAGACTAAACAACTAACTGATACAACCATAATTCAGGAGCTGAGGAGTGTGCCTCTCAGTGTGATACAGATACTAAAACACCACCTCGGGCATAATCTGTCACTGTCAAAGTGGAGCAAAACCAGTCTGGCATGAGCACCATCCATCAGTTATTGGTTCCACTGGTGTAGAGTAGACCTGAAGGCACCATGGACCCATTAAAATATCAGATGGCACAGTGTAGTGATGACAAACTGAGCAGCACCTGGCTGACACACTTTTTGGGAGGTAGACTGCGGCCCAAAAATTATCTCGGATTGAAAGAGTTGGTCTTCATTCAGTCGGAAAGTTTGAGAACGTGTATCAGGAAAAGCTTCTTTTTCACCCATCCTTAAAAGAAAACCGGTTCTTGTTTCCTCCTTCTCCCTCTGCCACTTTCCCCTACAGTATTTTGGCCGCAGCCTAAAAGGCCTCCTTGGCTAATTGCATATGGAGTGGGATCACTTTACCACCGTGCCCCGCACTTCAGCCTCCACACTGTTCTTGTCACTGGCAGCCTCACTGTAACAATCTCCATTTTAAAGCGGCAGGGTCAATTTCCACCCAGCTCTCGCATCTGGCTCCACAACTTAATTGCTAATGCATCTCCTGTTTCTCCTGCTCCAACGTCTGGTCTTTCCTCTGCACGTCCCCCCCCCCCCGCCCCACTCCTCCTCCCTCCCTCTCTCCCTCCACCCCTTCCAGTCTTATGTCCAGTCTTACTCCTCCTTAAATCTTTGCCTTTGCTTTCACATTAAGTTTCCCCTCCTTCCTGTGTTCCCTTTTCAGCCTTGTGTAATGAATAAGCTCAGTGTCGCCTAAGGTGCTTGAGTTAATTGTGGTGTGAAGCTGAATTGGTGACAGCGATGAAGGTCCTTCTGACAGGAGAACAAAGGCTGTGGGGTGTTTGATTCACTTGTGAACTGTGTAGACCGTTATTCAATTCCTGCTTAAGTATTAATAAAGGCTTTACACGCCAGGGGGAGGTCGCAAGGTGCAAGTGTATGCTTGTGTATGCATGTGTGTGAGTGCAGGAGCCAATTTGTGAGCTGCTCATTTTTCCAGTGATAATGAGAGGAGTGGGACAGTAAAGCCTTTGGTAACTGATGACTGTCTTATGTAACTTGAGTAATAAGGAACCTCACAGGCGACCAAGATGAACATGCTATGAAAGCTCTTCAAGGGTTTGGATGGGTGTTGGGAAGACTGCAGGAACAAACAGCTGGGTCACTGATGACACTGCAGAATGGTGAGTTCAAATGATGTGTTGCTGTCAGCTTTTACAGTGATTAAAACTACTTCATGATCCAGCGGTAATGCTAAATTTGACTTTAAATATGTATAACAATGTAAGTAATAACTTCTGCTATCTGTACGGCAATGTGCTGTGTTCCTCTAAATAGCAACTAGGCATAAAAATGAGAAACACTATTAAATAGCCCAGAACAATAAGTTATGGGGATGTTAACTTGTCCATTATAATATAATAGTAGAGCTGAAAAAGTAGTTGATTGATATAATACTTAACAGAAAGTTATACAGCATTTATTTTGATAGTTTAACCATTTAGGTTTTAAAAGTCGAACATTGTCTGGTTCCAATGTCTAGAAAATTGAGCATTTGCAATGTTTTTTGTTTTATGTGATAGTCGACAAAATATCTTTGTCAGTTTTTGGACTGTTTGTTGCACTAAAACAAGGAATCTGAAGACAATAACTTGGCTTTCCAGGATATTGTGATGGTAATTTTACAAACCAAATGATGAATCATTTTACTGAGAACCTCAACTGAAGATTAATCTGAATGAAAAAAGTAATATATTTTAGGGGAAACTTGTGTTCTGAAAGATTTAATTTTGAAAGTTTGAGTCTGATCTTTGTGAAATTAATGTAAGGAGACCTTAAGTGTAGCTTTTAAAGGGGAACTCCAGTGATTTTACACATCAGAGTCTGTTTACAGCTATTGAGGAGTACTAGTGCTCATGTGTGAAAAAAGTCATATAAAGCCTTTTGTGGAGGGAGCTGCGTGAAATCTGATAAATTGCCTTAGGTGATGTCACCTGAGTCAGCACTGAAGACTACGAGTTAAGAATGAAAAAAAAAAAAAATCAGGGTGTGGTAGAAAGAAATGACCTTTACAGACCTTTGTGTCCCGCTGCTCATCTCTGATTGATGATAGCAGCTCGAGGCTAGTTTAGCAGCTAGTAGCGTAACACACCTGAATCTCCGTCCCAGCAGTCCCCGGCTGAGTTGCATTGTGGTTAATGTAGGCACCGGGTTTGTAGAGGAGGAAGAATGCGTGGAATAGAAAATATGAGATTGAGTTATGTTAAATGTTAAATCGGTGGAGTACTGAACGCCAGTATTGTGTTTTTTAGGGGCATTTTTTTGATAGTTGGAACGATGAAAAATACAAAAAAAAGAAGAAAGAGAGGAGGTGAAACTAAACAAAAGCCCCTGACCAGAATTTAAAATCATGGGCATTGCAGTGTGTATCCATCTCAACCATACGCTTTTCTGTAACCTCTTTATTCTTTGTCTGTCTTTCTGATTTGCATCAAGTAATCACCATCACCTCAAGAGCACATGTGCACACACCTGTCCTGCTCCTAAAGTGCTGGGACTGAACTGACAAGGAGAGGAAACAGTTAAAGAGGGATCCGCAGTATTCGTTGCCCACATGGATCGGGCTTCTTACCCTGCTAGGCAGTTTGAGGTGGACGTGGACCTGGGCTTCGCTCTCTTCTTCCTCTGCCTCCTGTGTTTCTTCCTGATGGTGACGGTGGTGCGCTGTGCCCAGACTGTAGTGGATCCTTACGGCTCCATCTCCACCTCCACCTACCAGGAGGAGCAGATCACCTGAGAGAGAGGAGGGTGAAATCAGCCTGTGACAGGACTCTGCAGGAAATTGAAGATACACTTTTTGTTGAATAGATATGAAGTCTACATAGGCTGCAGGAGTCTGGCCTCTTCTGAACAATAAGGAGTCATCATTACACTCGTGGAAGTCACAAGACGCGTATCAGGTTTTGTTTTGAGTGTTTCTGACTGAATGGACCTGCTGAGCACACTCCTCAAGGGACCCGACCCAGAGCTTCTTTAGTAACTGTTAACAAAAAGATTTTATTTCATCACAGAGCTCAAAACATCAAAGTTATTTACTCCTGATAACAATCTGTTAATATATCAAGTGTCTGCCGATCATAGGATGTATTGCTTATTTGTATTTTTATTATAGATTTCTTTATTTTTTCTCCTATAAAGCTGTACGGTGCATACTTATAAGTCTACATTCCTACGTAAAAATGACTAAAGTAATGTACCTGTCTGTGAACGGGGGGGCCCATTGTCTTATTATTTGTCTACCAAGCTTTGGGGATGAGAAGTCTTACAGAACATATTCATGAGACACAGAAGATATAATTGTTTAATAGAAAAGATAAAGGTATTTTATTATTTTATACTATAAACTATTTGCATGTGATAAGTTTGTTAAGTGTCCACCTTATATACAGCCAATGGTGTCCACTAACAAGCAGAAAGTAACACTAATCCCTACCAGCTGGCGGCGGTAATGAGCCATTTAGTTGTTTACCGACCGCCATTAAACGTGGAGAAGAAGAAGCAGCAGCAGCACCATAAACAAGCGGAGAAGAAGACGCCACAATAACAGAAGTCTAAAATGGAGGAATCTGTGTTTGAGCTAATTCTGTCTCCTTCAGGTTCTTAACAAGACGACACTTGACAGTCATTTGTGTCACAACTGGCACACAGTCGTGACACAAAATCGAGACGAGGGTTCAACTGTCTGTCTACATTTCCCGCGTTATCTCTCTGATAGTGTTAATAGTGTACGTAAGTGGTGCTAACCTGCCAGCTAGCTCCAGCTGAAAGATCAATATAATCGATAGCTGCATTGAGGTGTGAGCAGATTGGGTCCTTTTGAAGACAATAATAAGGCCGCAACAAACAGGTAAGCTGACAGTTATTGACGCTACGTTGTTACCTTTCTCTGTACCACTAATAATATACTAACATTACTTATTAGTAAAGTGTAAAGGCAGCTTTCAGTTAAAGCTAATTAGTTAAAAAAATATTTCATTGTTTGTTTTTGTTTTTGTTTTTGTTTTCAAATCGGACCAACAACATGGGACGAGCAGCTTGTTGCACCAGCTGTGTGTTAAGTGTAATAATAATTATAAAGTAAATTAAAGGGGGACCTCGCCATCAACCCACGTCACCCCACGTCATCCTACGTCACCCCACGTCACCGGAAGCTCTACGTCGTCACCGCGTTTCAGACACCGTGCGAAATGTGACTTTCTGCGTTCATAGTGAGACTCTCCACTGCGCCACGCCGTTTGGACGCGCAGTCAATATTTGATTTCCTTTTGTTCACCGATTTGTCTCGATCGCATTGATCGAATTTGAAGTCGATCCGAAAAAATAGTGAAGAGTTAAAATTGAAGCCCTGAAATGGCATCGCAGCTTGACATTCGGTTCAACCTGGCCAGATTTGACGGCACGCCACGGACACGCCCTTCAACGTACAGTCACAAATAGCACAACTTTTAATCGGCAACATACTTTAACTGCACTGACCAATTTTGAAGCAGATCCGATGAATTCCCCAGGAGGAGTTCGTTCAAATACAAAACGAAAAATTCACCGAAAATGACCACAGAATTCAGAATGGCCACCTTTGACGGACTAGGTGGCGCTCTGGTGGCAGAGTAAATCACTGTGCGGAGACCGTAATCGTTATGAATATGAAATTCACAGGGCACGTGTAGACTGTTGCCTGTAGCTCACATACCAAAAATCGTGTTTGTCGTGTTTGTAGCGCCCCCTATAATGTTTTAACAAAGCAGCCCCGGCGCCACGTTTCACCGGTATGTATGAAACTCGGTAAACACGCGTAACGTGCCGAGACGTGCAGAAAAGCCTCTTGGACCCATACCCCAAATCCCAGAGGAAGTCGGCCATTTTGATTTTAATTTCCACGTTCGTTGAATTTTTCGCCTTGTATTTGAACGCACCCGTTTAAAGTGACTCATTGGATCTGGTTCAAAATTGGTCAGTACAGGTAAAAAATAGTGTTGATTAAATCTTGTGCTATTTGTGACTGTACGTTGAAGCGCGTGTCCGTGGCGTGCCGTCAAAGTTGGCCACAGTGAATCGAATGTCAAACTGTGATGCCATTTCCGGCATTTCAGTGCTTCAATTTTAACCGCAGTGTGGCGCTGAATTTCCACCGTTCACAGTGAAGAGTCTCGCTATGAACGCCTAAGTCTTTTACACGGTGTCTGAAACGCGTGACAGTGGAGAGCGGTCTCCCTCAGCTTCCGGCGATGAGGGCTTGGGCGTGGGACGACGCGACTGCAGCGGCAGAACACCGTGCAGGCCCCAATGTGGGTCGATGGCGAGGTCCCGCCCGATGCTGCTTGCAGCTTTAATTATGTCTAAGCTGTGATTTATGCATTACTAAAATAAAAGCAGTTGCACAACGGAGATAAGGTTGAGTTACAACCTAACACTGATAAAATGTCACAGAATTATACTCAATGATGGTAAAAAAAACACACTATTTTTTTTTTTTTATTAATTGCAGCCAATAATCCAGTAGAATATCTTATTTATTGTTATAATATTTCAATATCGATCTGGCCAAGTGGTTAGCTGCAGCCAGAAAGCAAATCATAACATTGTGAATTAACAATGTTATGAGTCGGTGTGTGATTCGGCCTTTATCGATCCACTAAAAACACGTATTTTATTGAGAAACTGTAATTTTCTAAATGGTCCGTCTCTTGTTCCCACTGTTTTCTCCCACTAAAATAACACAGCTGACCAACGGAGGCTGACAGCCAGCTGAGGCAACAAAATCCAAATTACATCCCGAATTGACAAGAAAACATTCATAATATCACACCCCTTTATCTTGTGTGTCTAGAGTTGTGTTTTTATGGACATGTAAGGAATTGTTAATATGACATATTTATTAAAGGGGGTTTGGCATAATATTTTATTTGAACTAGATTATTCCAGAGAGGCTAAAGCAAAAACAGTGTAATGTTCCTTTTTACCTTTTCAGACAGTGCTAAGGCTTGACCTAACATGTCTAACACACTTTCACAACAGTACAAAAAACACATGGCTCACGACGTAAATTACATTTTCCTTACTTTCCACTGCAACAAAGACAAAAACAGATCATCACACATATTCGATAAAAGAAGACATAGGATAATAATAATAATAATAATAATACATTTATTTAAAGGCGCCTCTCTTGGCACGCGAGGAACACCGTACAATACATAAAAAAAAAAAAAAAACAGTAAGAAACAGACAAGAAAAAGACAATGTAGAGAGTTAAGTGGGGTATGCAGTTCTGAATAGGTCAGTTTTTAGTCTTTATTTGAAGAGGGGGAGAGAGTCCAGGTTCCTGATGTCCAGTGGAAGTGAGTTCCAGAGTCGGGGGGCAGAGCGGCTGAAAGCCCTGCTCCCCATGGTGACGAGGCGGGCGGGAGGGACAGAGAGGTGGACAGAGGAGGCAGATCTGAGGGAACGGGAAGGGGTGGCCATGTGGAGGAGTTTGGGCAGATAAGGAGGGGAAAGGTTTTGGATGGCCTTGAACGTAAACAGTCTGAAGTCTATGCGGAGTTTGACCGGGAGCCAGTGGAGTTGCTGCAGAACAGGGGTGATGTGGTGGATGGAGGGGGTTCTGGTGATGATCCGAGCTGCGGAGTTCTGAACCAGTTGAAGTTTATGGAGGTATTTGTGAGGTAGACCAAAGAGAAGGGAGTTGCAGTAGTCGATGTGGTAGGTGACAAGGCTGTGTACAAGAATGGCAGTGGAGTGGGGAGAAAAGGAGGGGCGGAGGCGATTAACATTGCGAAGATGGAAATATGCAGACCGGGTGATGTTATTGAGATGGGATTAATATCCGACATCACATGCATGCCAGTGTTACGGGTTATCTTCTATCTATCTTCTGCAGTTCACGCCTTTATTTTGAATCGTCTGTGTTGCAGTGGTTATGGAGGTGGGTGAGATGGAGATGAGAATGTCGGCGCTCCAGAAGTCTGGGAAACAAGGAAATGAGAGAGAAACACAATCTGATGAAGACAGAGATTATGATGGTAAGATCATACATTTTCAAAGCAACTTTAACCTTCACCCTTATTTAGTTCTGGGTGGTGTGACTGGTCCTTTATATATGTTTGGAGTGGCTTATTCTACTGTCAATAGTACAAAGAATATAAAAATATTGTCATCAAGGCTTTGATTACTATAAAGTATACAATAGAGACCATGAAATAGTTGCAGAATGTAAACAATTTTACTAGAGCCCAATCTCTGCTGCAGGTTTTTTGTTTGTTGCAAGCCACAATTTCAACTCTGCTCTTTTTCTTCACAGAAAATATGTCTGATTCCCCATGTGAGTCCGTTGAGTCCACAAATGAAACTCCCAGCAAGAAGACACAACTTGAGGATGGTTCAGACTCTCTCAGTGTAATAAAAAAAGCAGTGGTGGTCTTGACCAGACTCCCTGAATATAAGATCAGCGCTCTGCGGCCACCAACGCCTCAGCAGTTCTACAGTGAAGATGAATCCTCCAGCAGCTCTGATTCTGATATGGAGTGGGAACCAGAGGGTAATTCTAGTGGTTTTGATTCTCACCTTGACGTGAACATTAACACCACTACCACTCACAGAGGAAACCCAACTGTAAAAAGACAATACTGAATTAATCTCCACTGACATTATGTTTTAACGTGTTTCAGTTTTTCTGGTTTGTTAATCTTACGTTGCGGTTTATGAACAGAAAACTCTTCATTTGACTTGATGGCGCATACATATTTATTTCCCAGTCACATTCTTATTTTACGATCCCTTAAGCTCATACGTTTTATTTTACATATTTTGTGTCTTTCCACAGTATCAGTGCCAGCGCCCATAATTATATCATCAGCTTTTGCCTATTGCTCTAATGAAATCACGAAGGTCCGTCCTAACTTGCCAGAAGAAGAGGTGAAAGTGGGCATGATGGTCCTGGCGAGGAAGAGGCACATGAGATGGCAACGGGGAAGAATAGTGGAGATGGTAACGAAGGGTAAGAAAATTATTTTGATTTTTAACAAAAAACCTGAAATGATGTAAAGTATAAGAGGTTTTATTGAGGACCCATGTCTTCACCACACTAGTCAGCTTCTAGTGTTGCTCGCCAGCAAAACCAGTGTGTGTGAAAGTTTACCTGTAGACCAACATGTGCAACTGGTCAAAAATATTCTTCTTCTATAATTAATTTTAAACAATAAAGAAACAAAAAAAATTACACAATCGTGATTTTACTTTTTTCAATCTCTGACATTTTGTCATTTGCAGAAGATGGACGGTTGAAGTACAAAATTCATTTTGTAGAAAAGGGGAAGAGCCTTGTGTCTGGCCACCACATCGCCTTTGACACCACACCGAAGCTGGAGCAGCTGTATGTCGGCGCTCGCGTGGTTGTCAAGTTTCAAGATGACAAATTCCAGGCGGGTATCTTGGCAGAGCTCCCCACCAGAAAGAACCGCTTAAGGTGCGTTTTGAATGAGTGTTTATGCCTATAAACCAACAGAAGAAACTAATACCTCACAATTTCCCTACAGACAATTCAAATGCTTTAGTAAAGGTTTGAATTAATGTCAAACATATTCACATTTTCCAGGTTCTTGGTCTTTCTGGATGATCACATTCCGGTTTATGTTGGTTTACCTTTACTCCACCTGGTGTGCAGACCGTGTAAGTTTTCACTCTTGTGCACACACAATCCCAGTATCCCAAATTCATGCTACATACTAATGTGAACAAAAAACATCAACATACGCTTTATATGAAAAGGAGGTTATACAGTGCATGCGTCATTTAGATCTGTCTATCTTTATTTATATTTAAAAAGTACCTGATTTTGTTTGTGATTCTTATGCACCAAGGCAAATTCCTCGTATGTGTAAAAACTGAAAAAAAAAAAAACTGATTCTGAATCTGTGGTGGCAATTTGTTTAATAAAGAATGCAAAGTATGATCTTGTCTTTCTGTAAGGTTTTATTCAAGTCATCCATGAATGGTCTCAACGCAACCGTCACACACTCTCGTATGTGAAAGTCCGAAGAGCCCTGATTGGCAGAAGCAGTATGGTTTTATCCCTGTTGGAGCACAGTTACACAGTAAACAGACAGATAGTGTGGTGAGATGATCATGTCCTTGGCTCCTTAGTGAAGTCTCAACATCCCGCTGTTTACTTGGACATAGCGTCTAGTTAGAGACAGGGCTAAAGGTTATATGCATATAATATCCTCTTAAACAGTTGCGTATGGTTTTATGTATAGGTTCTTAAAAATTGCCATTACATTTCTGATTCTGATCCATCAAACTGCAGCTTTGGACTTCACAAATATACTAAAAACCTGTTTAGAATTAGTTTGTGGTATGGATTTGGGACAGGTGAAATGTATCTTGCAAACATTTGGTGAGCATGTTCATCCAAAGAGACAGTGACACAAGTCGCATACATTTTAAGTCTTAAGATGTATAGTTGACCACTGTGCCTACCATTGTTCTACCAGACATTTCAGTCAGAAGGATAACTGTTTCTTTCCTTTGTTTTTTGTTGTTTTTAAAGTGGAAAATTCTGTAGATGACATCCGCGACAGCACTCACAGGTGTTTCATGAGTCGATACCTGAGGGCCTGGCCCTACCCACATTTAACCCAGTACAGTGCTGGTCAGAGCCTTAATGCAGAATTAAATGGAGTCCAGCAGAGGGGTGAGGTTCAGGAAGTCGACAGCAGCTTGATACATGTTGTTTTTCAGGTCAGTATCACTTAACACTACTGTTGATTACTATTCATGTTTTTTGCCTGTTTTTTATTTTATTTAGATTTCTGTTGTATAATGTAGTTTTATTTTGGTCTCACTCAGGATAATCAACATAAGGAGTGGATCCATCGAGGCTCCTTCCGACTTGAACACATGGAAAGATTTTTGGAAATGAAAGATATAGAGTTGTACCTGGATGATTCTGACTAAAGCCCACAGACACAGATATTTAAAAAAACAAGTTTTCAGTAATATCCATCATTATCACCCTAAAGTGGTGGTAGCATTGTTTTGGGAAAAATTAACTGAGCCACTTCAGCCCAAAATGAGATGTGCAATTATCAGAGGTTTGTACAGGAATAACTTGAGCTAGACTTTTGTTTACAATCTGATTTTCTTAAATTATAAAGTAGAAAAGTTGTTCGTCATTATGCATAAAATGCACACAATGGTGAGACGTTTTTATTTTAATTTCGTCTAGAAATATGAATTTATCTTAAAACTGCTTTTGGCAGCATAGTCAAGCAGCTGTAAAGTGAAACAAGCAAATATGCAACATTCGCTTGCTCTTATTTTTTTTATGGCTGCATAATATTGGAAAAAAATGTACAGTGCAATATTTTTTTTCTAACCCATCAAATCGACATGCACAGCATTTATAGCAAAACACCCAGAGAGAGAAGGCTTACAAACCTTGAAGGTGAGACCACCTGACCTACATACAGGTACATCAGGGCATACGCTCCATTCAAGGCCTTTGTGTTCTACGCTGTGGATGTACCAGGGTACAGCTGTAGTTCGACTGCCCACAAGTGAACTGCTAAATGGCAACATGGGATGGTTGTTCAGCGGTAAGCACTGTTTCCTGGTCATGAGTTTGAATCCCGGCCAGGGCATGGCCTCTCTGTGTGGAGTTTGTATATTCTCCGCGTGTACGTTATGTTAATTCTCCAGTCCCTTGACCAAGGCACTGGCCCAGATCTGGAGCTGGTCCCTTGGTGCCGTCTGGCGACTCCTAGAACTTAATTTAACTTAATTTAATTTAAACCTTGTAACTGTCAGTGTTGATACAGAAACCAAGAAAGGAAGTGACAACTAAGAAAAATGTACAGGCAAAAAAACCCGACAAATCCACAAAAAAAGCATATGAACTAGTGCAAAGCTAAAGAATCCGTGTATCATTTGTTCTTTTCATACCAAAAAACAAATAACGGTTCATTTTTTGTACTTTCTATTTATTGCTCAGATCAAAATAGGAAATTAAATAACGGGCCACGGATCGATTTGGATTTGGATATTTGATTTGTCCGATTTGTGTGAACCAAAAGTTATTGTCTTCTTCGTGTGTTGCACTTGGAAGTTTGCTGCAATTTCACAAAGCCTGAAAAAACTCAATCATGAGTGATTGTACTCTGTATTTTTTGAGTAATTTCGTATCGACACCATGGCCGCACTGGAACCATATGCTGATTTAATTAAAGACTTATTTGAAACTGGCAAGACACATATAGAGATTTCTACTAAGCTGCAGCAGATGGGTAAACAGCGATGTTCTGAAATGAGTGTAAGAAGTAGGGGTGGGCGTATCAATCTAAATATCGATAGTATCGATACCAAGATGAGTATTGGTATCGGATCGATACTACCGTGATGAGATCGATACTTTTGTTGCACTGTCTCTCTGAGTTCATGCGAGCACAGCGTCTCTCCAAGTCTGAGTGCTGCTCCCGTCACAGCGCAGAGCACAGCCAGGCACTCCTCTCCCGTCGGATGGAGCAGCAGGAAAGGAGCGCCGCAACGCACCCCCCCGTTGGACGGACCAGCGGGGGTATCGGTATCGGTATTGGTATCGGCGATACTGACTGGTATCGGATCGGTATCGGATCAATACCAAATCTTGCGGTATCGCCCACCACTAGTAAGAAGATTAACGTTAGTTAAACTGAAGAAGTGAATCAAGCTGACGAGACAATAACTTCCTGTTCATACAAAGCGAAAAAATTTAATATCAAAATCGATCTGAGTTTTTTTGGAAGCTGGAATGACAGGGTTTGACAGCATTGTAAATGCTCTTTGTTGACCTCTAATACTCTTCAGTTGTTATGATTTCATTTGAATGTGTAATATTTGTTTTGAGTCTTTTCATGCGCTAAAATCTTGAAAAAAAAAGTCTAACCAAACAAGTTAGTGATTCTTTAACGAGTCAGCAGAATTTTCATTCTTGGTCATTTGGAACCATTTAGCTTGTAATCCACATTTTCTCATTAATATCCAATTTAATTCCCACTCATTTAACTGCTTTGTATAGTATTCTGTGTTATTATTTTGTAAGTTACTAGGTAAACACAAGTTTTACATTGTCATTTGAAAGTGTGTCCAGCCTCATTTCTAGAGATGTATTAAAAATAACCTAATTTCTCAACCGTGTTCATCTTTGTCTTTTTTTTTTCTGCTGTGCGTCCGAACGTGTCCAACACTTCACTCATTAGTAACCCTATTGTGTAAATTGCGTGTAAGTGTTAAGGCCTCAACTAATTCAAATTCAGATATAAAATTGATTGTGTTGTGCAGTAAACATAAACTGTTACATATGTAACCTTTGGTCCTCTGTATCACAACTACTTCCACCTGTTCACAGGATCCAGTCTATAGGTGTTCATGACTGCACTAGTGGAGGAAGCTGTGAGAAATCTGATAAACTGCCTCGAGGGATGTCACCTGAGTCGGTGTCGGTAAACAAGTCTCTCTAGCCCACCAGCTCAAGGCTGCATCAGTCACTAGTAACATAACATAACACCTGTCGGCAGTCGGGTTGCATTGTGGGTAATGTAGGCGCCAGGTTTTGGTGTGGAAGAACACGTGGAATAAAAGAAGATGCTATTTACTGTAATGTTAAATCAGTTTATATAGTATCTAACAAGGGGCGTTGCTGATGGTGTTGCCTCTCTATTCACAAGCTTGCTCTAACCTCTTTAACCTGTGTGTCATCTTTAATATGTACTTTTCGGCATATATTTTTACATAATATAATTTATATATATACATAAAAATCTGGACACTGCAGGAGTGAGGTATCGTCAGAAGAGGGCAGTAATAAACCCCCATGGATGCAAACTCCCTTTATAAAAACAGAAGAAGAGGACGCAACAATAACAAGCATGGAGGAAGTGTGTTTAACACAGTAATGTAGCCGGATGTGGTTATTTGGCATAATTTGTATACAGTCGGGAGGAATCTTTAACTGTGTGCTTGTCAAACCTGTTGTTGTCTCTCTAACAGGGTCACGATGTTAGTCACCTAGCCAGTACGAGCCCGACAGCTAGCTTTACCTCCGACACACACAAATAATATATATATATATATTCAGATTAATAAAACAATTACTTGCACTGCGGTGTGACCAGACTTTTGTTCCTTTCTGAAGCGGATAATCAGGACTTAATAACAGGTAAGCTGTCACTTTTTATACAACTGTTAACCAAGTTTTAGATAGCTTACCTTCCCTTTAAATGTGAGTTTGTTAGCTTATTTGTGTCAGACAGTACAAAGAAGTCAAAATGAACACCTGTTGAACACCAAGGCTGCATAATTAATCTCAATATGGCCAAGTGCAATATGAAAATCGCAAAGGGGTTGCAATGTTTTGTTGAAGCTAAAAGAGTGCATGTTTGTTTGTTACAGACCCCCCAAATGTCACATCATCATGGTTTTAATCGTTTCTTTTATTGGAAATCAAATTTTGTGATGCAAAAATTATTATTGCCACATTAGTCACAAATCATACTGCAACATCTGTCAGCATCTGTATCGTGATAATGACCTTCTGGACATTTATCTGCAGTTAACGCATTAAAGAAGTTATTGTTTTTATCCTTACTACACCTGCATATATTGAAAGTCCTCTGTTATTATAAGTTTTAAATATCAGTAGGACTCATACAGCAACACAAACTAAAGCGGACACATTAGATAGAGAGATGTAGGATGATATCAGATTATTTACTGATCGGGCCAGTATAATGTGCTGTAGTGTGCAACCTCTGTCCTTTACACACCTTACACATCCACTGCCTCCACATTAGAGCTGCACGATATGGTAAAAACATTATATTGCGATTATTGTGACAGATATTGCGATATGGTTCACGATTAGTGGGGGAATTATCATTTTTGCATCACAGATTTTCATTGACAAAACGATTTAAATCAAGATGTGTTGGGGTCTGTACCAAAACAAATATGTTTTCTTACATCTGGAGAACATGATCTGTAGGCCAGGGGCATTTTAATGCTGTTCAGTCACACATTTTACCTACTACTGCACATCTACTCGCAATGTTGTGGCGAGTTAAAAGAGCAAATTGAGGTCCTTAAATCATAAATAACTTTCAGGTACTTTCATATATTACACAAACAAGCTCCGAATCCGGATATTTGAGAAGCTGTAACCCACAAGTATTATAACATTTTTGCGGTTAATCGATTATCAGAATAGCTGCAGATACATTTTCGACTAATCTTCTTCTTTCTTTTGTTGCTTGTTGCAAGCTACAATTTCAACTGTGCTTCTTTCTTTGCAGAAAAATATGTCTGATTCCCTGTGTGAGTCCGTTGACTCCACAAATGAAACTCCCAGCAAGAAGACACAACTAGAGGACGGTTCAGACTCTCTCAGTGTAATAAAAAAAGCAGTGGTGGTCTTGACCAGACTCCCTGAATATAAGATCAGCGCTCTGCGGCCACCAACGCCTCAGCAGTTCTACAGTGAAGATGAATCCCACAGCAGCTCTGATTCTGATATGGAGTGGGAACCAGAGGGTGATTCTGGTGACTCTGATTTCTCAGTCCCTGACAATAAACAGAAAACTGGAAAACCCACCCAGAATGACACAACAAAGACACTTCCGCCACAAACGAGTACTAACAACGACTCTGGTAATGCCACAAGCAACACCACAATGTGAACATTAACACCACTACCACTCACAGATGAAACTGTAAAAGAAAATACTGAATTAATCTCCACTGACATTATGACAGTTTTAAATGTGTCTCAATTTTTCTGGCTGAGTTTGGGAATATTTTGATGTGATTTATGAACAGAAAACTCTTCATTTGACTTGATGGTGCAAACATATTTATTTCCCAATGACATTCATATTTTACAATCCCTTTTATTATGCATATTTTGTCTTTTTCCACAGTGTCAGAGCCAGCGCCCATAATTATATCATCAGCTTTTGCCTATTGCGCTAATGAAATCACGAAGGTCCGTCCTAACTTGCCGGAAGAAGAGGTGAAAGTGGACATGATGGTCCTGGCGAGGAAGAGGCACATGAGATGGCAACGGGGAAAAATAGTGGAGATAATAACAAGAGGTAAGGAAATCTTCTAATGTATAACATGTGCCTTGTGCTCAGTATGACCGAACACCTGGAGTTTTACTCAAGTATGGCTAGATTGCTGCTTTTCTCTATTTTACAGACTAAATGAGCATTGATTAATCAACAAAATAATTGACAGGATAATCGATAACAAAACTTATTTTCAGCTGCAGCGCTTTTATGTGTTGTTTTGATACAAATATAAAGCTGCCACATATTCCTCACACACAGATACAACAGTGTATGTTTAGAGAGAATCATGTTTGAAGCAGAAAATGAAGAAAATTGTGATTTTACCTGTTTCAATCTTTGACATTTTGTCATTTGCAGAAGATGGACGGTTGAAGTATAAAGTTAATTTTGTAGAAAAGGGGAAGAGCCTTGTGTCTGGCCACCACATCGCCTTTGACACCACACCAAAGCTGGAGCAGCTGTATGTCGGCGCTCGCGTGGTTGTCAATTGTCAAGATGAGACATTCCGGCCGGCTATCTTGGCAGAGCTCCCCAGCAGGAAGAACCGCTTAAGGTATGTTTGATTGAGTGTTTAACCTTTATAAACCAACAGAAGAAACTAATACCTCACAGTTTCCCTACAGAAAATCCAAATGCTTAACATATTTACATTTTCCAGGTTCTTGGTCTTCCTGGATGATCACATTCCGGTTTATGTTGGTTTACCTTTTCTTCACCTGGTGTGCAGACCGTGTAAGTTATCACACTTGTGTTTCTTTTTTTTTTCATTTACACCTGAAGCCAAATGTACTGTGAGTTACTGTACAGGCTCAAATCATGTCCAGGGTCTTTATTTACCTCTACCGCAGAGAGAACCAGACATTTATGTGAAACAGACTTAGATTAGAGGCATATATTTATTTCCTGATTTATATTTTTTATTTTATCATATTTTGGTCAGAATCCTCTGTTTCTGATCTGCTGCAGTGATCATTTGCTGTTTTTGCTCTTAATGGGAACTGAAAATGTCCATGTTTACCCATTGTCTTGATGAATGTGTGTAACTTAAAAAACTCCACAAGACAATATCCATTAATACAAGAAAATACTTGTGTTAAACTGACCATTCTGTGGCTCTTTTCTAACAGAAATCGTATTTTCAGTCACTGATCCCTTCCTGCATTGACGTTTCACACTAAAGGCCTATCAGGAAAGCGAGGGATTGTGCCCTTTGAGCTGCCAGCAGGCTTTTAATGTGAAACGTCTGTGCAGGAAGTGATGATTTACACTGACAAGAGCTTAAAAGTGATTGAAGAAACAACAAAGTAAAAGCGGTTTCTACACTAAGTCTCTGTTTGTCACAAAAAATCACCACGTCGCAAATCCATGCTACATCCTAATTAAGCTGTTAGTATACAAAAACATACTTAACCCGCTTTATACTAACAGGATGAGATGCGTGCGACTTCAGACATCCACCAAACTGCAACTTTGGAATGACGCTGCCGGTGAAACTTCACAAACAGAAAACCAAATGTTGTTCTTATGTAATACTTTTACAGGATCTTTCTACAGTTTCATTACCACCAACAACTAATTTAAATGTTTTCCGATCAACAGCACAGTCAAAATGTACCGTATTTACTGGTTTGAGAATATTTATTTGTCACTTTTACACACTAGATACTAAACACCTGCTTAGAATTGGTATGTAGTGTGGATTTGGGACACACATTGTGTGCTAATATATGGTGGACATGCACTGCCAGACAGGCATTTCAGTAACAAGACTCTTTCTATGTTTTTGACAGTGGAAAATGTTTTAGATGACGTTCCCGACAGCCCTCACAAGTCTTTCATGAGTCGATACCTGAGGGACTGGCCGAATCCTCATCTAACCCAGTACAAGGCTGGATATATCCTTAATGCAGAATTAAATGGAGTCCAGCAGAGGTGTGAGGTGCAGGAAGTCGACAGCAGCTTGATACATGTTGTTTTTAAGGTCAGTATCACTTAACACTGCAGTTGTTTAAATTATTGATGTTCTTTTCTGTTATATAATGTTGTTTTATGGTCGCTCTCAGGACAATCAACATAAGGAGTGGATCCATCGAGGCTCCATACGACTTGAACACATGGCAAGATTTTGGGAATTGAGAAGAGTGCAGGATGTTTCTGACTAAAAGCTCACAGACACAGATATCATGTATATATACCTATATTTTTAGTAGCATCTATCATTATGATCTTAGTGTTGAAATTCTTGTGAAACATTAACTGAACCAATTAATTTTCTTAAATTATGTTATTATGAAGTAATAATGTTGTTGTTAATTTATCTCACCACAGCTTTTGGCAGCATATTTAAGAAGCTTTAAGCAAAAGTGCATGTTACATACAAGAATATTAGTTTTGTCTTTGTTCTATTGTCTTTTTTACAGTGTGACAGACCAAGACTGAAATAATTCATCTAAACTTTGTAAGAATGATACCTTTGATGAGAGAAAATAAACAGGACCTATTATGCCTTTCCTTTGTTTCTGTCATACATATAATGTTATAATCTCAGATGTTGATGTTAAACAAGGCTCAGGTGTCAAATAGTAATCGTATGTAAAAGCTCAGACAGCTCTGTGTAATACATTACTTTGAGTAATGATACTGATTACAACACAACAGAGCAGCGCCATTCAAATCTAATAATGCTGCCTCTCAGTTTTAACACTGGATTGCACCATTAAACAAAAGTCCAGATTACTTGTCAAACAGTTTCAAATAAAGGTCTTGCCCCTGACTGGGTAGATAACTACCAGGGTCACCTGGTGGCCTGTGCCACGCTGGGCCACTCCCTGAACACTACTGCTCCAAGCAAAAAATAGTATCCAGTGTGCAGGTCAAAGAAAAAAATCTAAGATGCATGACAGAAGAGCTGCAATAAAACACTAAACTAGTTGAACAAATAACTATCAGGAGCAAAGAGGACACGCAAGCCATTTGTTGTATTATCTTAAAAACAGCAGTATAATATACAAACACTGAATAAAAGAAAGAGAGTAACTTAACCAATATATTAAAACATTAATTATAATGATCCAATCCCTACACTGTGCTAATGCTTAATTGCTTAAGTCAATTATCTTGCGTTGATGTTTCTTTACGGCCAATTTGGAGGCTGTAGATTGTGAGAATAATATTTATTGCAGCGTTGTATCGGCTGCCTCACTTAGGTGTACCTAGTTAGGAGTGTATTTTATATTATATATAATTATATGTTATTATTTTTAACTGTTTAATGCATTTTGTTTGCTTGCTTGCTTGAAGAAAGTAGAAAGACCTATTGTTCGCCTGCAGGGACCACAGGGGGCAGCAGTGAGCTTCTCACGGCTGAACGCAGCAGAGTGAGCCGAAGAAGACGCCAAACTCCAAGTTGGACGTGACACAGAAAAGGGGAAAATTTAGTCTTATTTTTAGGTATTTGCTCAGTTAAAACTCCACTTCTACGAGAGAAAGTGCTTAATGGGTGAGGACTAACCTTTGAGTTTGGCAAATGTAAGTGATGTCGGATATTCTTCCCCCGTCCTCCGGTAACGGTAACCGTGCAACCGTTGCTTTAACATCCGGGCGGTGAGGCGCTCTCGGCGGTCAGCCATGATGCGGGTTCGGGTCGAGATCACCGGTGTACATGTGTGTTTCTTCTAAAAAAAAAAAAACACCCATAAACTTTCTTTTTAGTCCAAACTTTTTTATGTAGATAGCTTCAGGTTTTGTCCAGCTGTAATAAAAACTAAATTTCCACCTCTTCATCCCCATCTTGTGAGATCCTCATGAGAAACTGAATATCCTAAATTAGTCTTTAACCAGCTGACCAGGAGTTCCCAAAGTAAATAGCATTGGCTTATAGCTAAATAATAATAATAAAAATCAATTCACAATACTAAAACAAAACAAAAATCATCATCAACAGCTTCTGAATATATTCCCTTACCTACTTTATTCATGCAATAATAACTACATTTGCATTTAAACCCTCCAGTTGTTCCTTTAGATTCAATATTTACATTATAAGCATATAAGTTGGTCACTTTAACATCCAACAACTTTAATAAACAATATATCAAATTGTCACATACTGATAGTTTATGTAAAGTTTGATGTTTTGACTTGCAGTTACTTATAAATATGGCCATGGCAAATACGATTTTAATATGTTATATATGTTTTTTTTGTTCCATTTCCTCTTGTCTACTTCTAAATTTGCCCCCACTGATGCTCCCCCCCCAACAAGGTCCCTGGCCCCAATTTAACAAAAAACAAAATACACTAGACTGTTCAATTTTGGCCTTAAACACCAGTTGCTCATGTAGATGCCAAAAACGAAGCCTTAATCGTCTGTGACCTTGTCCAAAAGCTGGTAATGTTCATCCACTGTGACTCTGCAGGTATGCTAGGAGCCCTACTTATCAGGAGTCTTTAAACAACAGTTTCTGGAGTGCCGCCCATCAATAAGACCTCTGGCGTACACGTTATTTCAGGGCATGATTTGAAACCTTGTGTGTTGCAGTTATTATGGAGGGGGATGAGATTGAGATGACCAAAGAGGAGCTCCAAAAGTGGATCAGAGCGAAGGTGAAGAACAATCTGTTCTCCACACACGTTCAAGAGAAATGCGATCTGTTGCAATCTCTACTGGAAAGGAGGGAGAGCCAGGCTGCTCACCTCCGGAAACTCTACAAGTGAGTGTTAAATCTACAGTATGCTATAAGACCATGTTTCCCTGTTGTAATTTACCCAGCGAATACATTCCTTTCAGATCCCCGGCCTATCCTGGTCAGGTTTTGGGATCTAAATTTAGCATACTTACGTCACCCACTCTTTATTATGCCAAAAGTCTGAAGCTGAGACTTGTTTTGGTGTTTTTTTCATTGCCTTTTTCATGACTTTAGGCAGCTTTTTGGGCCCATACAGCATATATACCATGTGTGGGCCATTTATAAACCATAACAGTATGGCAATAAAGCTTTCAGCTGTGGCAATCAAAAGGTGATCTAGCTACTTGCCAACCAGCTGTTGAACTTACTGGCATGCATTTCATGGTCCTTGACTACAGCACGGGAAGGTTGAACCCCAGATTAATCTCTGCCCCCTGTACTCTGAAAGTTCAGCACTTATACTGCATTGCTCCCTAAAATAGAATAAAGTCTTTCCCAGACAGATGAGCGTCACTCGAGCCACACTACCAAATGTTGTGACACTTCAACACAAGATGTTTTAAAGCCACCATAGTAAAAAGGCCTATTTGTGTATTAAAGAGTGTTTGTATTAGAACTTGATTTCTTTTATTTGTTTAAAATTGAAGAGTGTACTGATTCCTTCTCTGTGCTTGCAGTTGTCTGCCCTATTTGTTCCTTTATGTTCTTTGCTTGGTTCATGTTGTCTTTGTTGTTGATGTCTTTCAGGTCTGTGGCAGCATGTGAAGTGATTGTGAAGAAACAATACTCGTTGCTGGGGTGGGAGTACAAAGACACTGTTTCTGATGATGATGATGGTACGAATATAACAGGCTGTGGTAACATACAAATCATTAAGTCAATGAAAAAAATGTAGGGTTGCTATGTCTGTGTCCTTTTCTGTTTGAGTCATTTTCAACCACACTATGTGTTATAAGCTTGACTTTGACTTGACGTGTGCTTTCTTTTCCTTTTGTAGGAATTACTCCTCCGTCCCCACATCAAGTCCCCGGCTCTCCAACTAGAAATGGCCCTTTGTTACCAAGACTTGAGGACAGTGAGAAAGTCTATAAAGTTAATGGCAAGAAAGTCTCTATAAGTCTAAAAAGACAACCAGTGGTGGTCTTGACCAGACTTTCTCCACGTGAGATCAGCTCATGTCCACCAACTCCTCAGGATCACGACAGGGAAGATGAATCCTTGAACAATTTGGGTTCTGATAGTGAGCGGGCATCAGATAATGACTCAAGTGATTCAAATGATTCTATCTCACGTTATAATACTGGGTCAAACAAGAGGAGGAAAGTAGATCAGAAGAATAAAAAACCTGCCAAGCGTCACGCAACACCTCAAGCTAGAACAAATGCTGGTGCTAAGAGCAACGCAGGAAAAACATCGACACCGCCCACAGACACGAATGGTAAAAAAAAAAAAAAATACACTATACAAGAACATGAACATACTCTACCACTCAAATACGTTTTTGTTGTATGAATTACTTTGTGGTTCTAAAAACATTCACCTCATTGCTTTCATATCACTCCTGTCATGGAAGAAACACGAGAAACAAATATTTAATTTGGTCACCATAGCTTAAACTTTTAGTGTCTTTCATCTGATGAAAAGTGGTAGTGGAGCTCCTCAGCTGTTAGGTAGGGTTTATTCCTCTGCTGATTTTGATAGGGAAATTATATTTCTTATCTTAATTAACTTTAAGCTCAGCAGTTTTACTGGCTAAACATTGTATAAGGTCTGCTAACCACATATGAATTTGCATATGAATGTATCTTGTAAAGGCCATTAGTAGCGTTAGCACTGGCTGATTTAATGTGCTTTTGCCAAACTGAATTAACCACGCACACAGTGACATTTTGTTTTAAAGATGTCTGGATATTTAAGACATAATTTATTTGGAGCAACTTCTAATCTTAACATTTTAAAATAAGTATATAGGTGCGACCAGAAATGTATTTTCCTGAAGTACATCAGTTTTGATATTAACATGTTGTTGTTCCTTTGTCGGTTACAGAAGTAAGCACACCTGTCAGCACAGTACCAGCGCCTTCCCAATCCTCGCACAAAGCAACCAAGACCCAAGACCCTCCTAGCGTGCCAGAAGGAAAGATCGTTGTGAACATGAATGTCCTGGCCAAAAAAAGGGACATGACCTGGCAACGGGGGAAAATCATGGAAATAGTGACAAAGGGTAAGAAAGGAAGAAAGATGATCTGTCGAGCAAAGGACACAATGCAACATATTCGTCTTCAGCTTGACAGCTACTGGTCTTTTAAGGTGGATCTTATTATCACGTTTATGACACTCAGCAGCTTCTAACAGTGTCAGAGAAGGAGAGTCACATCAGTTTGTTTGTTTATCACTTATCTTATAAGGCCCCAGATAAGGAGTTGGCACAGGAAATGTAGCCACCACAAATTCATATCACGTGTAAAGATCCCCTGCAGATATGTGTACACACACACACACATACACACACACACACACACAAATAGTCTGCTTGGAACAATAATATATGACCTAAAAAAAGCCTAATTTCCACATTAAATTACTTAAAAAGGACATCTACTCCTTCTACCTCATACAAATTTCACAATCTTTGAATATGCAGAATGTAATAATTTTCTAAAGTTTTCTTGCTCCTACTTCTTTGTAAAGTCCATTCTCAGTGTATCTGTACTGACGGTGAGTGTCTACATCCCTGTTAGCTCTTTACCTGTAACAGGCACACAGAGAACAGGGCAGAGGCAAGACAAACACTATACTTGTAACAATCCCACTGCAAATTGGAAACTCTGCACATACATCATTCTGCACAGTGACTCTCAAACATCCAACTGTAGGAACAAGAAGAGTGGAGGCTGTCTTCGCTCATTAGGAGAGTTTTTTTTGTGTTTTTGTTGCAGAAGATGGTAGGTTGAAATATAAGGTCAATCTTAAGAAGGGGAAGATCCTAGTCTCTGGTCACCACATCGCCTTTGACTGCATGCCGAAGGTGGAGCAGCTGTTTGTCGGCGCTCGCGTGGTGGTCAAGTGTAATGGTGAAGGACCCCAGTTCTTCCCCGGTGTCGTGGCAGAGCTCCCCCGCAGGAATAATCACAAGAGGTTTGTTTGTATAATGGATAACTTTTTATGATGAAGTCAGATGTAAATGTTTTAACCTTTTTGTCTTGTATAATATGCAGCTGCCTTTGATGCAAACAAGTTTTTTACATTTTCCAGAATTCTGGTCTTTCGGGATGATCACACGCCGGTTTATGTTGACTTACCTTTACTTCACCTGGTGTGCAAACCAAGTAAGTTTTCAGGATGTTTTCAATCACACACGGACTGTTGTGAAGATTTATTACAGTCGTTGTTGAAAGTTATATACATTGTTTGAAAGCTGTTTTTGAAAACTGTTCTGGTCTAATAGACCCAAACCCAAAATAATTGGGGTTCTTCTTCTAGTTGTAGTCTACAAGTGAAGGCTGTGGATGTGTCAAATAACGCGATAGGCTCATTATATAGGCCTTTTTCACAGCCGACATTTTGACTTGTCATTGTAGGAAAAGCTTAGGTAATACTAATAAGATTAACAATGGCTCTGTAGGATTCAAGTGTCCCAGTAAGCCGTGACGTGTTGACAGTGAGCTAGATGATACTGAAGCAACTAAATGGAATTCATGTCAAAATATCTCCCCTGCAAGTATGCACAGTAGTGACAACAGCCCACCTGCTGCAATTACATTATGTCAAAGGCAGACCCAGCAATATGAAACACAGCAGTGAGTGTGCTGCTGATAGAAGTTATAAACTATGGAGCAGCATTAACAGAAGTCAAATTCCTGATTTATAAGTGCAGAGTATAGCTTGTTTTTGATTAAAGTTACTTGATGTACTCAAAGAGTGAGTGAAAATCTTCTGTTTTTACTTTTTCTTTAATCCAATGTTGATCTAATAATGACATTTATTGTATTCAAGATCCACTTAAAGTCTTAAAGTTCTGTATTTTTAAACTGTTAATTTAAAGACTTCTTGTGTTTCTTTGTTTTTCTCTGTAATGCTGCTTTGCTGGCAGTTGGGCATTAGACTACAGAGCAGCTTCGTATTTATTCATCCAATTATGTTGTTTTGTTTTGTGTGTAGCATAAAGGGACTAGAACTTGCATGATGTTGTACAACCCTGTGTTGTAGAATGATAAATAAATGAACCTTGTACCTTTTGTATAAGTGCACTTGGAAGCAGACATGATGTTTTATACTCAAAACATTCAAAGGAAGGTTTCAATGAATATTAATTTATGAATAATTAATGATAGCAATGGGAAAAAAATGAATGGAAATCAGGTTAATTTCCCCTTTCATATTCAGCCTGTCCTTGTGCTTTTGTTAGCCATTTTCTGTTTGTCCCTAACTCATCAGATAGATAGACGCAGCAGTTGACATTTGACACGTTGAAAAAAGAAAAGCCGATTTTTAGAGAGAGTTTAATGTAATCCCTGAAATGAATCTACATTCAGTTGTAAAGTCTGTCCTATCAGTGCCACAAGCAGATAGCAGGTGACCTAAAGTGGAATCAGAGCCCCAAATTCATACACCTGTCGAACCATTGTGCTCCACGGTGCCTCCTATTACACTGCCAGTAAGTAGAGTGATAGACTTCTTTTTCTTGTGACAGTGACGGATCCCTTGGATGATATTAAAGATGAAGCCCACAAGAAGTTCCTGAAGGAGTATATAAAGAACTGGTCTTACCTGCCCCAGACAAAGTACAAGCTTGGGCAGATAATTAATGCAGAACTGGATGGAGTCCAGCGAAGGTGTGAGGTGCAGGTGGTAGACTGCAGCTTGATACAGGTTGTCTTTCAGGTCAGTGTCTGTAAACAATCATTCTCTAAAACATTTCTAACTGGATTCTTGATGTTTTCCTCCCCCAGATACATGTATTTAGATTATGTGATTTATAGTAGTTTGCTTGTCTTGCTTAGGTAAATCAACAGAAGAAGTGGATCTACCAAGGCTCCTCACGCCTGAAGTACATGATTAATATGAGGGAGCAGTTGGAGTTTCAAATGAATAAATCTACAGCAGCCAAGGGTAAATTAAATTCTCAAACTAATAACAATCAGTTATTGTAGTTACTTCTAATAACTTGTCTCCTCTTTATCTCCCCCCCTTCAGGATCATCAAAATAGGCACATTGATGAGACCTTTGTTCTGCGTTTTGGAACTAGAACATCCACGACGGGACTCACATCACAAACGTTTTTACCTCACCAGAATGGCTGAAAACAAGTCAAACTGTCTTATTTGTATATAGGTGTATTTGTATTTGTTTTGATGCTCTTAAATAAAAACTAATTCTCATTTTCTTTTTGCTTGTTTTTACTTTTACTTCTACTTTTGACCTAATATATTCTAGAAAAACCAAAACCTTGCACACTATGAAAGATAAGATGTTCCTTTATTGATCCTCTGTAGAGGAAATTGAAATTTGACACAGCAGCACAGAGGAATGTAGTGCAAAGATAGAAAAAGAATAAGAATAATATACAAGAAAAGAAAAGAAAGGAATAAAAATATAATTGTGGTGAGTCAAAATTATGAAACTCAGAATTGTGATAGAAGGCAAAATAGTTTCAAGTTTTTAAGAGCCAATAATAATTCACCGCATATATTACATGACAAAAAACTACTGGTAACAATCGTTTGATTTAATCAACAAATCTAAAATAATTATTGATCAAAGACGGACCGGGCCATGTTAATTTACCGAGAGGAAGACGAGGAGGCTGCAAGTGAGAAGAGCGAGGATGAGGAGGAGGATGAAGAGGAGGCGACGTTACGCTATCTCAGCGTGTGTCTCTGCCTTTGTACGTTGTATTTTAAAGTTTAACTTTACATTAGATAGAAAACATAAATGAATAAATCTGAATAACGTAACAACAACAACATAATAAATAATCAAATAAATTAATATTATTATTCATAATAATAACACACTTCATGGAAACGTATATACTGTTGAAAGTTAAATTCAATTTAGAATAGAATATATATATATATATATATATATATATATATATATATATATATTGTATTCTATATATACACCCAGAACCTCCAACCCACGCAGACAAAGACTGGTTTAAAACTCCTACCTGCAATGCACAAGCCTTTTGCACTATTTATATTTAATTTCCACTTTAGTAGTTTAGTAGTTTTAGTCAAGTTTAATTTTCTGCTTAAATTTTGCACTCCCATGTCCTACTTGAACAATGAATAGTGTATATACTTTAATTTATAGTTTTATATCTTGTAATATTAATAATATTAGTAATATTTTAATTATGTTTTTGCACTACTTTGCCCTATTGCTGCTATCTTACACACACTTACACACTAAGAAAGTAATATTTCCAATGTGCATTTTTTGAATTTGCAGAGTGAATGCAACAAACAAAGCCGAACACCTGGGAAACTACGCTGCAACAAAATACAAATAATGACAAACACCTTTCTGAACAACATCTCTCCAAACGTTTCAACTATTTAAAACACATGATTTAGTTGCGGCGGTTGCAGGTTGCGGTTGTTTGTGTACACACACACACACACACACACAGAGAGGACCGAGTCACAGTGTCGGCGCAGGGCGGCGTTAGCGCCACCAGTCTGAACCAGAACTCGCTGTACGGGGAAGGCAGGGGAGAGAAAGCTGGCCGCCTGCTAGCACTAGAGCCTTGAACATCGGGCTAACACGAAGATAAAGGAGAAAACTGGAACGCTACCACGGATTTCTTGTGGGACAAGCGCACAGGCCTCGCTGCAAAAACGGTAATATATCACACGGGCCATTGCGTGCCGTCAAGTGAGCCACAATCGTGCCAAACGGTTAGTACGACTGCTTTGCGAAAGTAGCTGTTTTCGCTTGCCAAGCTAAGATGGCGGCCAAATTATTTACATTCGCTAATGCTGCTAGCAGAGCACGCTAACAGCCCGTACGTCGCTCGTTGGTTAGTTGGTTGGCAGGTTTGAGTTTGGAGTTGTTTTGCCGTGAATGTGTTGGTGTTTAAAAAACGGGGGGGAAGTAATGAGTGATACTACTTAATGTCGTAAGTGCGTGTTGAAATGAACCCCGTTAACGTCTGTGTTACTAGCCTCATCGTCTTACATGGTAGGGGGGAAAACACTAGCGACGCTCGTAGAAGAATATTATGAACTTGCAACGCTGTTGTGTTATGAATCTAATGTTTGCCTTGGTTGACGCTGAGATAGCTGACTGACAATGGCATACGTGTAGTCGTGTATTTAACTTATAACGTTGCAGTCAGTGTGTGTGCATTGTTTACAATCGTCTAAAGCAACACTGTGTTTACGCCAAACCAGTGGTGGGTTTTTAATAGTTAATCCAGGGCCCGCTTCAACAGTTGTCTGTCTGTAGCTCTAGCGATGTTCTGCCCTGATTTATAAGCTGCATGCTTTATGTGGATGTTCGTGAAAGTTGAAGTGTTGACCTGTGTGTGTGTGTGTTTCAAATGTAGGCCTCCAACACTTCTGTTAAAACCAAGTTTGTGCACTATGCTGTGGTCGTCAATCATGCCCATTTTGATCAGATTTTGAGAAGACCATTTGTGCCTTTCTGTAAGGGCAGTTTTATTAAACAGTGAAGTTAACTTTAAACATCTTTACTTACAGTAAAATATGTGCAACAACAAAAAAAGAAAATCCAGTTACAGGCTGCTTATTCAATTCATTTTAGATCAAATGTGTTCACGTTTGTCTTCTACAACTTCTCCTCCTACTGACTCCCACAAATCTCTTAGTCATATTCAGAAATACTTTGATCCTGGGGGAAGATTTGTTTGTTACAGTTGCTCAAGGTGTTCATACAATGTTAAAGAATATAATTACAATATATATATATATATATATATATATATATAAACTGGATATCTAGGTGTATACATGTAAGTAAAAAATATAATAAGAGCCTAAGTGTGTACCTTTTTATAATAATGCGATATATATGACAATATATAGACAGAAGTAAAGTATGCCACAGTATGTGACTGACAGAAATGGAATAAGTATTTATAGTGCAGCACTCCCACTGGAAAAACCGGATCAGGAGTAATTGTAAATTCAACAATCATTTAATGAACTTTATAGCACATTTATGCCAGAGATCCGCGTTATTTTTTAAATTCTGATTGTTTAACTTGTCCCACTAGATGCCTCACACCAGACGGTACTCGTCTTCGGACAGAGACAGTCGAAGCAGCTACCAAGACCGTTACAGAGACCGAGACAGAGGGCGAAGACACCGGCACAGAAGATCACCTACATACTCCTCCAGCAGTGACAGAGACAGAGACCGAGACAGAAGAGGGCGGGGACACAGACAGGAAGGAAGCTATGTACGCTCAAGGAGGTATGTTTGTGTGTAAAGTGAATTTTGTTTGGTTTGTCTTGCTGAACATTTATTTTATGGTACCAATTCTGTAAATCTTTTTTTTAGGTTTGGTTGCTTATCAGCCTTCAGGTTTCAGTGTATGCCTATCTCCTCTCATTCAGTCGTAGCTATGACAATCGCTCTACGGAGCACCGGCCGTTTGACCGAAGATACTGCGAGGGATACAGACGCTTGGATCAGAGCCGAGATCGAGACCGCGACAGAGAAAGGGAGCCACATGGAGCAGCTGAAAGTTACTACCCACGCGACTTCACCCCAAACGTGTACGACTACCGACGTGGCCGCGAGAGGGAGCGCGAGCGGGACGAGTCGTACCGGCGGAAAGGCAGCAGGCGTAAGCACAAACGAAGGCGGCGTAGAACCAGGTCCTATAGCCCATCCTCCTCGGTGAGTACAGCCAGACCTGAGATTGTGTTTTAACTCTCCTCATCCTTCTCCTTCCATCTCTGTCTCTTCCACTCAGCTCTTTCTGTCTCTGTCTTTCTCTAACCATTTCTTCCTCACAGCTCCTAGAATTGGTAAGTAGCACAATCTTTATGATTTGTTTTTGTTCTGTAAGAAGGGTTTTGTTTTTTTTTTTTTGTTTAAGTGGCTTTTGCTTAAATTGGCATTTCTTTTTGGCAGAGCATTTTCATTTTTATGCAAACTTTTTCTGTAGTTCATTGATAATCAACCACTAATTCTTGCTGCTGTTCAGATACACACCCATCACAGCTTTCTAAACTTTTCCTTTTGAAAGCCTAGTTACACCTGGTCACACATAATTCAGTGTCTGTGGCCCTACCTTTTTGTTAAAATGTAATTTTGTATGTTGTCTTATGTTCTTTTGGAAAAGGCCCAAATGCCTGAAGAAATAGTTGGTTTGGCCACATGTTAACTTTAGTGCAGATAGGCCGAAAAAAGTGAAAATGTTCTACCAAACACCACGCAAAACTTAGTTTTAAATTGAATGCAGATTTTTGTTAGAATTTATCGGCATTTAAGATGTCTTATTTTTGTTAGAATGCATTTTTTGTGTGTGTTATGTTTAACCACACCTATGTATTAAGTAGTACAAATTTAAGTGAGCAGGGGGTTACATTTGACATAGTATATATATGTTGGGGGATATCTTTAAATATTTCCTGCTTGATTACATAGGGTCCTCTCATTTTATTTTCCATCTTGCTTAATCTGAAAAGTCAGCCTGATAAGTTTTGAATTAGCTATATTATTGTCTTAACTGGTTTTTGCGTTGATGAATGGATATGCCAGTTGCTTCCTTGTTTGTAAGCAGCTGTGGTTTAAAGATAGAGGGGGGAGAGGAGCAGAGGACAACATGTGATCTTTGACTTGTTCCCTTGCACTATATTCCTATCGTTATATATTTCCTTCACGTGGTGTCATGCGTGAATCGCCCCATGACCACCAAACCCACCTACAACCACTACATCAACTACCACCAACACCACCCTCCTCCTCCCTCCTCGTCTACCTGTGCCGCCTGATGCCGTGGCTGCGGTTGCCCTTGAAAACCCCCTGTTCCCTCCGGTCGTGTCGTGACCTGCTGATGGCGGTTTGGGTGTGAAAACAGCGGAGCAACAGCCGGACACGGGCACTGAGTGTGAGGGACGACGAGGAAGGGCACCTGATCTGTCGGAGTGGGGACGTCCTGCAAGAGAGATGTACTCACTGCCACTACTCTATCGTAACCCTTCTCCATATGAGTATTAAGCATAGAGCATTTACATGACATGGGAGTGCCTGATGATGGTGATGATTCCTTGCTAGAATGCTCTTCGCTCTAGCTGAAATAGCAGGGTGGATTGCAAGAATGTTGGAGATTTTGAGAGGGACTTTAGATACCTTCTCCATTTTGTTCTAGGATTTTAAGCTGTGGAGCATTTTCTAT